TAATAATAATAATAATAATAATAATAATAATAATAATAAATTAAAAAGTTATTAATACAATGTCAGAGAAAAAAACCAAACCCAGGTGTTATGACAAAGAGTGTTAAGATCATCCACTATCCTGTCTTTTTCCTTTTAAATTTTTGAGATTTTTATTTTTATTTTGTATGTAAGAGTGTTTGCCTGGGTGTATGGCTGTGTACCACATGCCTGCATTGACAGCAGAGGCCAGCAGAGGGCATTGGTTTCCCTAGCATTGGAGTTGCGATGGTTGTGATCTGGCCTATAGGCCCTCTGAAAGAGCAGCCCGCAGTATTAACCACTGAGCAATCTCTTCAGCTCCATATTTTTCTAAACCTCTGTACAGGATTGACCACAAGTCCCTAGCCACTGCCCCTTGCTCTGTCATATGCTCTTTCTTGAGGCTGTGCCCACAGACTCAATCCCACCCATCCCCCTCACCAGTTCTTCATCCCTCCTGATCCAGACACAATCTTTTTCGCACAGTGGATAGATGTAATGAGGTTGGGACTCAGCAGTTCTGAAAAGAAAGAGGAGGTCACCTATGATGTGCACAAAGGCTAATTCCAAAGACCAGACAGATAAAGGACTTGTCAACCCAGGGCCTGAGCACTTCCAGATTAGGCTAAGCCTCCATCCTAGGGACACATTTAGATACCCCTACAGTGCTGCCAGAGATAGGAAGTGAGGCCAGGAAGAGATTTGAGCCTGTCCACTGCTATTCCTCTAGCCAGGGTAGGCAATGGCTCACCCAAAGTTTTCAGGATTTCTGGGGTAAAAGGGGGTGTGAAAACAGACAACACACAGACCAAGAAAAAGTCCTGTTTATGGGAGTCTGTAGGTGAGAAGCCCAAGGATGTTAGGGTAGGAAGGAGTCACCGTCCTTGTCAAGCCTCCTGGATTAGCTTTGAGGCAAGAAATTTGTACCTGGCCTTTGATATGGCCATTATCCTGGGTATAAGTGAATGGTTATACCTGAGCATCCAAGGACACAAGTCACATTCTTTGCAAGACTTCCTCCCTCCCTCTCCTCTCCCCTCCCTCCTTTCTTCCCTCTCTTTTTCCCTCCCTCCTTCCCTTCTTTCCATCCCTTGCTCAGACAGTGTCTCACTGAATGGCCCCAGGCCAACCTTGGATTTCTGGGCTTCCTGCCTCCGCCTCCCACGTACTAATGACAATGTAACTGGCTCCATTCTCAGAGCCTGAATTTACTCATTTGGGAATCAGGGATCATAGACAGTTTCTACTGTGTGGAAGGGTGGATAAAATGAGCTATGCATATGATAATGCTCAATATATAACATGTTGTTAATCAGTGTGGCTGTAATGCCACTCCCAGCCATTAAGAGTCTGTGGATACCCCTCAAGGGACCCTGCAGACCTTGTGCAAGGATGGGGCATTAAGACTGTGGGTCTATTCCTCTGCTCAGCCAAGGGATTCCTTGCTCTTTGTATCATTCCTAGAAGGACATGCCTAGGCTGTGCCTGTAAGTAGAGCCTGGTCTCCTCTCTCACCCTCCCACCCTAGGGCTCCCAGCCAGACCTTGACAGTCTATGTGGCAGAAGTTCTCTGAGTGACTCTGATAGTCGTTGCACCAGTAATGGCTGTTGATCTGGAAGATCCCATAGTCGAAGCTGCCATCTACATTCTCGGTCACCTTTGAGATATTGAAGTTGCTTTCCACAAAAGCCAGGCACAGCCCTTGGAAAAGAGAAGAAGCTCGGGCTTTAGGAGGGATGCAAACTGAGTGGGAAGGAGTTGACTGAAAAGGGGGGGGGGGGGGGGGAGGCAAGGAATCAGGAGAAAGAACGAGGCCCAAGAGGCTAGATAGTCCTGAAGAGCTAGAAATACCCACAGGCTTCATTCCATTTCCCTATCCGTGTGTGTAGCCATCCCCCCATCTTTCCACCCACTTAGGTTTTCTGCACTTGCTGACTACCTACTGTGTGCCAGGAGCTATACACAGCCCAATAGACTGGTATTGACTTCATGTACAGATAGAACAAAAGTGTGAGCTTAAACACACACATACACACACACACACACCAGGTTATGTGGAGAAAGTGTCACAAGGTAGGCATGCACAAATTTTGGGTGTAAAGGAGAGATCCCTTCCATGCAGAATCATGGATGAAGCCTTGCACTGGCTGTTCATTTGGCCTGGAATGCCTGTCTTCAAGACATTTGGTCATTTCGTTCAGTGTCACTTCTTCAGAATCCACTGACCTCCTCATTTAAATGGTTACTTTGTGCATGTGTTTATTTTTA